TCAAGGAAAACTTCCTCCACATAATGGTATTTATGCCCAGAGGAAGACAGGAACCCAGTCGCGGAGGCCTTATGCCTGACCCTTCAGTAGGTCCAGTCATAGCATCTCTCATATCCCTCTCCTTTTTATCCCATCCTCACTGACACTTTAAGATGCACTTCTCTTCATCCAGAGCCAAAGATCCTGCTGCCAGATTAATATTTCTAAAATACCTTGCTAACAACATGAGCGGTTCCCGCGGCTCGCAGGACCAAGCCTGGGTGATCCTTAGCACAGCACTGATGGCCCTGCCACAGCCTGGTTCCACGACACACAGCAACCCTGTTCCCCAATCTGTGCGGCCTCTGCCCTGCAGCTTGGACTCATCATGCTAAGAATACTCCCCACTAGAGTTTTGGCAGAGTGTGCTCGACTGATCAACAGTCTCAGCGACACTGGCTACATTCTGGAGTGTTTGGGTTTTCCTCACTCAAATTCAAGGAAACTGCCCAAGCTCTGAGAATATTGTGCCCACTTTTCCTCACAGTCTATCACTAGAATAAGTTCCATATTGACCACCAAGTGACAGGAGCTAAAAAAAACCTGGGTGTGTGATGGCCCCTGACTAAACAGGCTCTGTAAAGAATCAGTGCAAATTTCCCTTGAAGTGTCAAAGGACAACATGAAACGCTCCATTGCTTCACATGTTGCCACAAGGAGCTCAGGGTATGCAGAAAGCAGCAGTAAAATTTCTCTTCCCTTCTTGATTTCCCATAATATTTATTATTGGCATCACACATTTCATCCCTCAATATAATTAAAGGATAGTCTCTTTTATAGACATAAAACATTTCTGGAAAAGTTTAAGCCACTAAATACATGTAAAATACGAAAAATTTTGTGCTCATCAAAGATGTCTGGCCACTTTGTTAATTTAAGAACATAAAAATGTGCTTCACTTAAAAGTATCATTTCCATAAGCACATGATTTTACTCATATGTGGAATCTAATGAATAAACTGAACTAACAAGGAAAATGGGGACAGATTCATAGATGGAGAGCAGGGTGACAGCTATGGGGTCGGGGGGGAGGTGAGGGGGTGGCGGGATTGAGCAAAAAGGAAAAAGGACTCATGGACGTGGGTGACAGTGTGGTGACTGCTGGGGGAAGCGGGTATAAGGGGACTACATGGTAATGGAAAAAATACAATAAAGATTAAATAAAAATAAATTAAATTAAATTAACTGTAAAAAGTATCATTTACGCAAGTAATAATTATAAATCTCTGTTGAGTTTGGTTTTATTTAGTTCAAATGGCTCTACAAAACTGACTTTTAATGACTCTACATCAATTAGTTTTTGGAACCTGCTGGAAAAAGAGGAGGGGGAAGGAGAGAGAGGGAGAAAAAGAAAATGTAAGAATAGAAGATAGAGCCCTGGCCAGCGTAGCTCGGTAGGTTGGAGCATCATCCCATAAACCAAAAGGTTGCAGATTTGATTCCCAGTCACGGCACATACCTAGGCTGCGGTTCAGTCCCTGGTCAGTCGGGTGTGTGTGAGAGGCAACCAATCAATGTTTTTCCTCTCACACAGATACATGGATGTTTCTCTCCCTCTCTCTCTAAAAAAAAAACTAATGAGCATGCTCCCAGAAGAGGATAAAAAAAATATGTAAGTAGAATAGAAGACAGAGACCAAAGAGATGGTTACCAGAAGGAAAGGGGTAAGGGGATGAGTAAAAAAAAGTGAAGGGGAAAATGGTCAATAATGCTGTGATAAGTTTGCATGGTGACAGATGACTACTAGAATTAGTGGGATGATCGCATTGTAAGGTAAAAAAATGTCAAATCACTATATTGTACACCTGAAACTAATATAACTAATATAATATTGCATACTAACAACTTAAATACAATTTTTTAAAAGAATAGAATAAACTATCAACATTAAGGCAAAACCAAGAAAAATCATCTTTATTGATTTAATGTACTTCCCTGTACTTACAACAAAAGGTACTCATTTTCAAAATAGAGGTTTAGAGAGAAAAAAAGAAGAAAAATATTATTCAGTACAATTTTGGCATGTGCAACTTTATCTAATCAGTCTCATTTCCAAAACTATCCTGAGAAGTCATTTCTCCACTGGCACTTCATTTTATTGTCTGAAAACAGAAAGTTTGTGCAGATTAAGATAAGCTTCTTTACCTTTTTAACATGAAAGTTTAGTTCCTGATTTAATGAGACCACTTCCAAACAAAAATTATATTCATTCACATGTTACTGCATATGAGAAACTAGGACCATGTTGTAAGGAATATATGCCTAGCAGAATTCTAGCCCATATTCCTAGGCAAAAACATAACCTTTATATCAAGATCTATGTACATAGCCGATATTAGCAATTTTATCTTTATTTCCCCTTTTTATGTAATCTTGGATTCTAGTGATATGCTGCAACATGATTTAGAACACATTCTCCACCTTAATAATAAAGTCTTTCACTTCTTTTTCTTACATATTTTTAAAACGACAAAAATTCAGGGTATTTAAAACTGTGTTTTATCCATACCAATTGTGAGGAACATGTGGCAAAAAGCCAAATTCAGATGCCAATTTTGCCAACCAAAGTTCCTCTAAAACACATACGGAGTTTTACAGTTAAACTCAGAAGCTATCCTCAAGAAAAGGAGGTTCTGCAGTGAATTAAGGTTTTCAGCTACTGCTTTCAAAAGAAGTTATATAGTTACGTTATAAACTGCTCTAAAAAGAAGTTTTTAGAATTAATTCTCAAAAGACATGCCCCCTATCCTGACAACTTTCACTACAGAGATTCGGTATCAAAATTTTATTCCTCACTTTCTTCTTGAGTCTTTGGAAGAGAGTAGTCACAACATGAATTCATTTTCCATTTTCATCCTTGTTTTAGCTCATGTATGGATCTCATAGAGGATATCTAATTTCGTGATAAAACTTTGAAAACAACATTGTGTATGTTTGAGGTCTCCTCAGGAAGGCAACACTTACTCATCAACCTCAAAATAACTAGTCAACAAGAATAAGTCCCCAAATAAATAAGACACTAATTTATTCCATCTCCTGAAAGAGGAAGCTTCTCCTAAAGGAAAGAAAAGGTTATTGAAGCCTTGATATTGAAAAGTTTACTGTACTACTTCTCATATATATATATACACTAATGAAATATTGTGCAAGTTTAATATTAAAACACATCTTTTACATAATGTTAGAAATTATATTAGTAAACTACAAATTTTAAAAATTTAAATCATGATTTTTTTTAAAAAAAAAAGGTTTAACCCTAACATTTTCCAGGGGGGAAAAAGCTCTTATTTTTTTTCTGGTTCCTCATATCTCTACTCTTCTCAACCTCACAACTTCAGGGGGTGGGAATAAGGGGTGAAGGAGTAAATCAGTTAAAAGGGAGAACTACCCCCTACACATCTCCATGGTAGCTAGCCCAGTGCTGGGCACACAACATGCACTTGTAAAAAATTGGGAAACTGGGCAGGTACACAGGGAGTAGTCATTCATTTATTCAACAAACGTTTACCCTGTGCCTACTTCAGGCTAAGCACAATGCCAGGGATTAGGAATATAAAATGGACACAGTCTTGGCTCTCAGGTAAAAATCAAATCAGAAAGAAAAGGCAGACTTTAAACCATTTACAGTATTATTACTGAGATGTGAAATACATGAGGAGCCCTACCTTAGACTGGAAATAAGGTGAGGAAGGCTTTCCTGAGGGACATGTGGGCGGAGACTTCAGATAGGGCTGGAGGAAGAGTGCTCTGGGCACACACAAAGTTGCGGGGAGCGAGGGCGAGCATCAGGGCTAGAGCATGACAGGCTGGCGGTGCCCAGAGAGGAAGAGGATGCGGGGCACAGGCCTTGGATCTGGCAGGGCTCTCCAGGGGATGAAGAGGAGTTTTTACTTTATTCCAGTGAAACAGAGCTTTGGAAATGTGTTAAGCAAGGGAACTGCCTGATCAGATTTAAATTTCTAAACCATCACTGTAACTGCTATTTGAAGGATGACTGGGAGAAAGTACAATGGATCTCTTGACCCAGATTCCGCTCCCCAGCTCCCAGCCTCACTTCTCTCTGATGTTCTAGTCACGTCATGGGCTTTCCCGGATCTTCCATAACATTTAATTTCTGTGGTGTTTTGGAATTCCTGGTTACATATCACCTGATCACATACTAACCATCTCTTAACTTCTTTTGTCTCTTTTTTTTTTTTTTTAGTTTTCAATTACAGTTGACATTCAATATTATTCTGTTTTGGGGAGTTTTGGGAGTGCAGCATAGTGGTTAGATGTTTACGTAATTTACAAAGGGATTTCTTATCCCCATAACTTTAACTCTTTACTCTCTCTCTTATGTTCTGATTCCTTTTGTACGCTGCTTCTCATACTTCCTAAGTAGATTTAAGGCTTGACTGGCAAGGATCTTCTAAACCATGGAACAAAGAACTGGCAAGACTTTCTCTGGTTTGTGTTTCCCTAGTAGACACACAGAAGTCCTCTGGGCTCAGGGAAGGTTACAGCAGGCCTATATTTTTAAAGTAACCGGTGACGGCCCAGTACAAAATGATGCATGTAAGAGGATCAAGGTTGAGGCTGCCGTTTCTTTTGTTGAGGAAGTAAGACCAGCTATGGTCACTTACTGTCAATCACCCCCAACTATCATTCCACCCACAGACCTAATGTATGGCCTGTTTTTTACATATATAAGCACTCCTCTTTGACCCAATGCCATCCTAGAAGACCAACTGTGAAGTTCGTATAGCTTCTCAATAGCTAAAGGTTGCAGGGCACTCCTATAGGCTTATTTATCTCCTGAGTTTGGAATTGGATTGCTCACTCAAAGGCCTTCCATTAGAATGCTGTTGCAGTCAGAATGTTTCCCTAAATTTTCGGCAAAGAGACAAGGCAATAGGGCACAAAGAGAAAAAGAATGAGAGAAAGCTTACTTAAGTTTCACTAGTTCACCAAGTTCATACCTTTGCAGCCAGCCGACACTCCATCACCCTGATGTTGAAATGGGAGGTTGCTGCCTTATTCATTTCTACACAACTGTTGGCAATCACAAACACTGCTCCACTTGGGAGTTTCACATCAGTTGCCCTCAGAGGACTAAATTCTATCAACTTGGCCTATTGGAAGAAATGTAACAAGTAAAATAGATACATTAAAATTCAGAAAATGGTTAACCACTTATGCACTTATATATCTTAGTAAATTTTTTTCCTAAAAATGCATTCATTCCTTCAAATATTATGTACTAACTTCTAGTTACTATACTAGGCATTAGAGATACAACAGTGAACAAGACCAACACTGCCCCTCATAGAGCTTACAATCTAGTGGGAAAGTCAGTCAAGTAGACAAGTACATTTCCAGGTTGTGTTGCAATGGTAACAAAGTGCAGGGTGCTATACAGACACATACCTGAAGCACCTGATCAAATATAGCCTAATGGAGGCCCCTTTGAAAAACAGGAAAATCTAAACTGAGTCTTAAAGGATGAGCAAAAGTAAGAGAGGGAAACGGTGTCTTTGCCCAAATAGGGTGTCAAGAAGAGGGAAGAACATAGGCAAGTTCAGAGGTTGAAAAACACCATGGGGTGTTGTTAATAGAGCTTTGGGAATTGAAAGTTAGCTGCAGCTGAGAGTTTGAGGCGTGAGGAGTGGCCAGAGGGTAGGTAGGAAGGGTAAAGCAGGGGTCAGATTGTGAAGTGCTCTGCAAGCCCAGTGAATTGGGACTTTGTTCAGATTCTGCATCTCACTTAACATCAGGACTTTTGCCATCATGCCTGCTTGTCAGGTCTCATCCAAAACACCCAGAGTATTTTCCTAGCATTAAACCAAATTTACTCATGCTTCATGCCTTTGGCTTGGGGGAATCAACAACAAATATTCTTAATAAGAAGAAATCCAGGTATTCTGGGAAAATAGCCAAGCCTGTAGGAATCTGATGAAAAGCTAAGAAAAGATTTTAAAGAAATGTCTGCTTCCACTTTGGAAACGGGCAGTTTATGACCAACAACCCAAACCTCTGCTCTGCCTAAGGGAGATGATAGCCAAGGGGAAGTGGTATGCAGCTGAGGAATTCATTCCTGGGTTACTGTCAACATTCTTTTCCTCACCGCTGAAGCCCCAAAAATGTTGACACAGAAAAATGATACCAAAGAGTAAATTACAAAAAGAGGGGTTGTGAATATATGTGGTAAGAAAACTAACATTTGGGTTTAAAACCAACATGAAAATGCCATGAGATGAAGTGATTTGGGACAAGAGAAGGAAAAGAGGTCTCAATAACTAGGGAGTTGAGAAATCTCATCCTAACAATGAATTAGAAAGGAAAAAAAAACTCTACACACAAGAGAAAAACAGAGTTGAGGTATGATTCTGGAAGCTTAAGGGAGCAGAGATCAACATGAAACAAAAGAGGTGAACTCATGGTAGGTAGCTTTGAATTACAAAGGAGTTGGGAAATACCATCCTACAATAATAGAGTCTTATAGAGTAGGCTGCCCCAAACCAAGCATGCTGAGGCTCTCATAGCCTTCCTCTGTGGGTGAACTTTCCCTAACTGATATTTCCAAAGAGCTCAATGCCACCTACAGTTCCTTCTTCTGCAAGAAATGATATGGACTGGTCCATCCCTCCTCCTTCGGTGCCAATATAACGCTCACTCTTGGCGCAGATTTCCGCAAGTTCCACCTGGAAAAGTAAAATTGATTTGTACCGTAAATGCAATCATAATCTATTTCTCATTCATTCCTTATTCCAGACATGACAGATAGGTTTGCCAGCTGTAAACAACTGATAGTAGTCGCTTGGAGCCTGTGTTGACAAAAACTCCAAGGCTACCATTGAGCTCAATAGGATCAATTAATGCCAGCTATGGGATGGAATGAGATAATGATTATGCAACCCATACATTCATTACCCCTAAAAGACTCCACAGGATAAGCAGTTTCTCTCATCTTTCTATGTGCTCCATTCCTCTCTAGGCTCCTATCACCAAAAACCTCACATGGGCTCATTCATTTCTGCCTCACTTCCCTTTATAACCCAACAGTGAATAATTCCACAGTCTCCCCCAGTCAGGGTGGGGTCATCTGACTTTATTTCCCAGTCCAAAGTAATGCTGTCTCTGGCATTTCCATTTCCAAATGTAAGAATCAGAACTAGTGTCATCTCATCAGACACACCTTCACAACCAAGACAAAGAAGGCCATAGTATGAACACATTTCTAATCCAAATGGAAAATATTTGTTTAAGAATCTTCAATGGCTTTCTAGTGATTAATTCAATAAGTTCAAACTCCATAACCTGGCATTTCAAAGTCTTCCAAAATTTGTACAACCAGTGCGTATATGTGTACCATTCTTTTCCGATTAGATTTGTCTCCTTTACCATTTCACACATAAAGTCTTTCTCTCATATAAATCCTATTGCCATTCAACACCCAGCTTATTCGCTGTCTGCTATAGGCAAGCACTGGGCTGGCCGCTCAAATCTTCCTCCATCATAGAGTGTTCCTCAAATATTGTTCTTACTATAACATCCCCTTTCTCTGAACCCCTACAACATAGTGAGTACATCTAATCTATTTACTCACTCTATTATTCATTCATTTTTTTCCTTTTTCTAAGACTTGATCCAGGCCCTATTTCCCACCTGTTTTACTAGAAGATCGTCCTAGAGTGATCATTCTGAAACACTGATACAGTCATCTCTTGCCAATGCCTCGATGCTCAGACTTCTCAGCATGACACAAAATGTCTTCAATGACTTATCCCTCGCTCTCTTCTCCACGCTGCTCTGTTGCCACTAACCCAGTAAACCCTAAGCTCCCGCCATCAGGAATCACAAACAAACGCTGTTCATCACCCCACAGGCTCTGTCATCTTCCGGTGCCTTTAAAAGTGTGGTTTTCTGTCCTCCTCATGCAGTCCTCCCCTGTCCAGGATCCCCGCTAGTCATCAGGATCAGCTCGAGCACCACCACCCCTGCAGCCCACGCCACTTCCCAAGTGCACGCACACCACATAACCTCTCCTCCGCACGCCCTCTGTGAACTTGATTCTCATTTCCCATACCAGGCTTTAAGTGCAGGTTTACTTGTCTCCTGATCCAGTCAATGAGAGCACAGGTAGTGCCCAGATCAGAGCCCACTTATTAACTAAGATGACTGAACCGCTTATTGTTCTGTAATCACGTCAAGTTTCAGTCACATCAGATTTCCCCAAAACATTGTCAGTCCTATTAGAGACAAATAAAGTGCTTCTTTTGTATCCCCTACTTTACCCAGTGCTGGGCACACAGTAAACACTCAATGAACACCTGCTGCTTTCACTTTCTGAGAGAAGCTGCCCCTAAAACCACCTGACTGATTCTGTGTTATATTCATTACGACACAAGGTAAATTTGGGATTTTGACAAAGTGGGCATTGCACGTATCCAGCTGAAAATACAGAGCCAGGGACCTGTCTATAATAAGCACTTGGATTTTAAAATGTAAATGAACAATAAACCCTGCTGAAGAAATCCATGCAGCATTCAGTGAGGAATGATGAGACCTGGGTTCCCACCTAATTATGACCCTGGGCCAGCGTGAAAAGTCACCCCACACACAAAACCAAAAAAAGAGCCACATTTACATGCTGCTTATCTGCTTTGTGAGCATTATCGCCCTAGGCCTCCAAACAACCCTCTGCTTATCCCCGTTAGACAGATGAGGAAAATGGGTCTTGGAACACATAACAGAAAATGGAGGAGCCAAAAACTGAACCTCACCTGCCTGACTCCAAAGCCTGTGTTCATTTCACACGGAACTTCAATTACTTCTCCCCTACTGCCCACCCCCGACAAATGGAGATAATACTACCTTTTTTTTCCACTCCCTCCAAGGGATATGAAATGACAAATAAGATCACCAAAATTTAAGTATTCTCCCTCTTAAACAGAAAAAAACTGAAGCATCAAGAAATATATAAGCTTATTGTTTTCTTAAATCTCTTTATGTGTGGCAACAACTGTATACTTTCATAGAAATAGGATGTTAATTTCTCCAGTCTATCTATGTAGACAGAAGTCAGAGGGACCTCAGAAGGCATCAGTATCTCTGTGTCAAGGCAAGTCCGCCACCGGCAGGGGCTGCTGACACCCCACGCCTCACTGCTCCCTCTCCCGGCGAATTCTAATGGACAGAGCCCATGGTTCAACAGGCAATACCCAACAGTACTCAGTGTGAGGAAACAAAAAAGGAAATGATAATAAGGAAGCTGACACAAGAAAGAATGGGTTTTCCATTCTCCATCTTCCAGTCTCCCACAGAATACATGAGGGATTCAGCAGTAAATACAGAGGAAAGAAACTAGTACCAGAAGATTCCATATCTTAGTTAAAGTCCCAACTCTCCTGCCAATTAACTGTGTTACCTTAGATATATGGCTTAATTTTTTCAAGTTTCCATTTCTTCATCTATTATTAATAATAATAATAGCTTTATCAGGTAAAATCTAATGAGCACTAACTATGAACTAAGTACTGTTCTAATTGTCTGGCATGAATTATATACTTCTCATAATGACCCTATAAGATAGGTACCACCTCATACACAGAAGAGAGAACTGAGTGGGTTCATAAGCTGAGACTAGGCTAGTAATTACTAAAGCTCAAACGCAAACTGTCTAACTCCAGAGACCATAGTTTTAATCATGATGCTCTATTACTTCCCATCCATAACATGGAGAAAAATACCTCCCTCCCTACCCACAGGATTATTGTGATGATCCAACGAATTAAACTGAAATACTTTACAAACTCTAAAGCACTATACAATTGTTAATTTTATTATTTTTATATAATAAACAAGGAATTATTCAATTTATACTTCCCTGTGAGTAGCTAAGTCCCCAACCAAATATAAAGACAGGAATAATTATTCTGGAATACAGGACCATTTTTATTTTTACTTTTATTTTATTTTTGAATGGATCAAATTATTTTTTTATTTCTTAAATATTTTTGTTAATTTTTCAGTTACAGTTGATATATAATATTAGTTTCAGGTATACAACATAGCGATTATACATTTATGTAACTTATGAAATAATCACCCTAAGCAGGACCGTTTTTTTAAAGTGTTCAAGGAAAGAGAACTTAAAAGATTCTGATGCCCCTTGGGGAACCAATTCAACAATAGGCAGTAATGGACCCTGAGGCAATCAGGAGCGTGTTCGTTCCATTTAAAGCATTTCAGTCTAAATGGAGCAGGAGGTTCCCTGCCTGCCAAACAAAACATCCTGGTAGTGTAAACTTCAGCCGCAGGCCCACAGGCTGGCTTCCCAAGGGGCCCCCATATTAAAAGCAGAAAGGTAAAATCCTAGATGGTTATGAGATGGGAAGAACCTACAAACAAAATTTATTGTTGTTGTTATTTTCCAGTCTCAAAACCTATTGAAGGAAAAACTTGCACACTTCTGACAATAAGCAAAAATGAGAGCTAGGCTCAAAGCCTTAGCTAAAGATGGCATGACCTGAAGTCAGTGAACCACTGATGAAGGAATCTTAACAGCAAGAGGTATATATGGGAGCAGAGAATGCCTGTCATTCTGGGTGATGTGAGGGAGACATATGAGCTTGCCATGTCTTTTCTGTCTTTGGGGACACTGGAAATAGAAACAAAAAATGTCCTCTAAGAACTATAATCAGACAGGGTGATTTGCACAGGCACTAAATCAACACTTCACACAAACTTAAATTATGTAAAATATCAAAAGAGTTCATGAAAATAAAAACGAGCTGTCAAAAACACATTCCCAAAAGAGTAGAAGAAGCCTATCAGAAGTGGACTTCAGGGACAGATCAATCAAATTCCAGGACTCAGTTCTATTTAGCAAAAGATATTATCTTTTTCCCTGATGGGAGAGGGATTCTGAGACCCACTCAGTTTTCCTATCTCCCCACCGCACACATGGGCACACACACAACCTGAGAACCTTCAAGCAAGAACAGCAAAGCTCTAACCAAGAAGGGATTTGCTCTCTTCCCAATCAATGTATTCTCTTCTGCTCTTACCTGAGTGCTTTAGGAATCACCAAACTAACTCACATGTGACATTTAGCTCTATTCCTTCCTGCAAAATACTAATGTCTGAGAATCATTAGGACAGATAATTTGACTGCATGAGAAACTTTTCAGAAGTTTGTAGCCAATAAACTCATTTCTATTTTGACTTCTGCCCTCTGGGTAATTAGGAGAAACCTTGCATTATTCATAGACCTTCTTTTAAAGGTGAGGTTATGCAAAAAAAGGAAAAAGGACTCATGGACATGGAGAACAGTACATTGATTGCCAGGGAAAGAGAGGTGTAAGGGAACAAAATGGTAATGCAGAAAATAAATAAATAAATAAATAAATAAATAAATAAATAATAAAATGAAGCTCCAGAAGATAATGAGGCTAATTTAGTCTTTGTATTGGCTCGCCTCATGAAACAGGCTGGGAAAGAACCAAAAGTCAAGTGGACTCCCAAATTAAGCAGCTTACCCATCTGCTGGCCAGAGGGGCTCTAGTAAGAGGAGAAAACAGGGTTCGATTTCATGGTCATTAAGAAGGGCTAAAGATTCACAAATGCATCATCACCTAGCTAAACATGGATATTTATAAAAAACAATAGTAATACAAAATGACTCAAGATATGAATACGG